AAGGAAAAAACATATTAATAGAAGCCAATATGTCGCACGCCATAAAACGCGCACAGAGACGATAGGGTGAGACGGCGTGCATGTGGACCACTCACGAATGCTACCACATCCCCCACCCCCATTTACTCGTAGCTGGACTGCAAAAACCTGTCGATGTTTGCTGTTCTCCTATTTTCCCTGACGATGGCCTCTTGTGTGATGGCGAAGGCTCAGATTAATACAACTGTTGCCTTCATCTTCTTTACAGAAAAAAAACATATACTTTACTCAGGCCATGACCTTTGGATTTTGATCTAATTTTGGTTGATGCGTTATTAAGCCGCGTGTCGCGTGTCTGTGCTTATGTCCAACACCTAGGTTCCAATGCGCTTACTAGTTATTTTGCCTTGAGCTATCTCGTTACGTGTGCATTGCGAAAAAAACGGGTGGCCATTATTTGGCCTGCGCACACGGCAGCGTGTGAACACACCGACCTTTTGCCTAAGTATTAGTCCATGCTTAAACCGGCTGATTGCAGCAGCTACCGCGGTAGAGCTGTAATACGACCTGGAATACTTCAATAGCTGTCGCTTGCATAGCCGCCCGTCTATGGAACAAAGGGTATCCGCGCAGCGCTCGAAGTCGCTCGTTCTTCCCATTCCACTCTATTTGGCTGGCAAAAGGGTAGCAATAACTGCAGAGGTTGCCTTTAGACCTGTGCAGGGAAAAAATATGCTGGTGGCTTCCCGCTGCAAATGCAAGTATCAAAACCGGTCAACCAGAACTGTAATATATCGAGTTTTCAAATGTCGGTGGGTTACTTACACCGGTGTAACAACTCAGAAATAGGGGAGCGAGGGCGCCGCGAGTTTTTTTTTCATTAATACATAAGAGGCACAAGCAGCAGTCGCGTTCGTGCCAGCCCACTCACTAGCCAAGTGTGACAAGGTAGCGATAACGTTCGAAGGGAGAGAACACCGACTGCCACCAACCGAGAGACTGGGCAACCCACAGAGGTAAAGTCGAAGTAACCTGGCCGGTTTTTCCATTTTGTGCTGCAGCATCTGACTCTATCGCCTCCCCCCTCTCTCCCGCTATCCTTCTCGGACCAACGTCCTCCACAGTACATCGACAATTCTCCGATTACCGTGTCAGTGCGCAGGACATTAATTTTGCGGTCAAGCCCGTAGGTCCAGTTGCGCGTCTGATTTTTTTACATCCTAGCCAAGTACGAAGACTGACTGTAGTATAAACCACCTTGGGTTGAGAATTGGTTTACGAAATACTGAAATATCCTAAGGTATATATGAAGCGTTGTTTCCAGGGCACGAAAGTGAAGCAAGCGTATACAGCGGGATTTATTTGTACAAACAAATACCACGACGGCTTTTCAACTGCTACCCATCTTTTCATGAAGTAGATAACGAATGGAAGTACACAAACGTTTGAATTTGCAAAGAAATCAATACATAACAACAGAGTCAATGTTCAACGCGGTCAGGGGCACTGAGCATTTACCTAACTGACTTTCAAACAAGAAGAAAAGTACCGTGGTCCTCGATTACAAAGCATCTGTTAAACAGTTGTCACTCTGTTGACCTCAAAACATCTTTCTGAGTACTTGTTTGGGTACGAACAAATCTGACCTTGCACTACATGGAAGCACCCTACATACGGCGGGGAAACCCGTCTTATGTAAGCAGTTAGATCTTGTTGCTAATCCCCAACTGCCCTGAT